CCCCAAAACCCCAAAACCCCAAAACCCCAAAACCCCAAAACCCCAAAATTTTTTGCAAATATTGAAATTTTAAAGTTAAAATGAATTGAGGCTATCCAAAATGGATCTCTCATGATGAAATGCCTATCTGGAGCATTGATGCCCAGCCCAATGGGTTCCGGTTATTGACAGCAGGTGGAGATAATAATATTAAGGTCTGGAACATCCTCCCAATTATCTCTTCAAAGTTTGAAATTGGAGAAGGGGATGATGAGGATGACCAGAATGCGAAAGAAAAAGTCCATGTCCAATATTTAGAGTCCCTATTTGACAAAGAAGAGCAAAAATCAGAGAAATTATTAGCCACGCTTAATAGACACACCAGCCCAGTCAATGTAGTGAGATGGAACAAGTTAGGAACAGTTTTTGCAAGTGGTTCAGATGATGGAACAATCTATATATGGCACTACCGCGGTTTGAAAAAGGGATCGTTTCAAAATTCTGATAAAATTGAAGAAGATTGGACTACAGCTAAGCCTCTTAGAGGGCATAATGACAATATCTTCCAGGTTAGTTGGTCTCCAGACTCTGAACATCTTATTTCCTGTGGAGTTGATGGTAAAATATACGTGTGGAATATATTTCAATCAAACCCTATCGAAGTGCTACAGGCCCATGAAAAATATGTAAATGGAGTGGTTTTTGATCCTTTCAACCGGTATTTCATTTCACAATCTACTATGGAAAAGAAGATAATTGTGTGGAAAATCCATGATAAGTTTTCAAAGTTTACAAAAGGTAAGAAGCACAAAGTTATTTGTTTTAGAAAAAGAAGTCTCGGAGCCCTACTTAAGTAATAAGAGTGCTCCCTCACAATTTTCAAGGCTAGATTGGTCCCCTGACGGCCAACTCATTGGAACCAACAGTGGATCTGTGAGAGGAGTCTTTACCTCCCCCTTAATAAGAAGAGGTGAAGGATGGCCAATTGAAGGGCATCTCAAAGGCCACAGAAAGAACGTTAACATATGTAGGTTTAACCCTTCCTTGAAAAAGGAAATCATCCATGTTGATGGTAGAGAGACCATTTCATGCTCAACCTACTTAGCGACAGCAGGAGGAGATGGAAACATTGCTATTTGGAAAACAGGGGATAAGAATCCCTTCTTCATCCTCAAGAATGTATCAGAATCAGGGATTAGCGATTTAGCATGGGGGTTAAATGGGAATCTTCTCTTGGCATCATCTGTCGATGGAGAAATAGCCATGCTGCATTTCTACCCCTACACTTTAGGCGAATTTTGTACAGATAAGCAGAAGCAAGATATTTTCCTGTCAAATTACGGAGAGATTGTTGCATCAGAATATAAAAAGAATAGCCAATTTACAGTAAAATCCCTTCCAGATATGAGCAAAAGTGTACTTGCCGGTATTCGGAACAAACAGATTAACACAGTTGGGACAACAGCTAAAAAGAGAATTATTCCAATAGCTGAGCCAATAATATCAACTGAGCTAAACCCTCGCGAATTTAGGTTCAAATATATCGATTTTAAAACCAATCAGCTTGAGGAAAAGCTAGAAGAGATGAAAATCATGCTACCCTCAGCCCAAAGGACTTCCCCACTAAAGTCTCAAATATCTGCCGAAGATGCTTCAATGAGCCTGCCTATTGCTGAGAAGAAAGAAGAATTCTCAAAAGACATTCCAATGGAAGAAGAGGCCTCTGAAATAGCTAAGCCCTTAAGTGCTAAAAGAAAGCTTCTCAATAAGAAGGAGGAGATAGCTAAAGTTGCAGAGGAACAACAAAAAGAGAGGGATAAAGATATTCAAATTTTTAAGAAAAATTTAGCCCTGCTTAATGAAAATCTACATGTTGTCCAAGACCTTGAAAATTATTGGACACATTTCAATAATCCTCCACAAGAAAGAAGGATCAGGATTGTGTCTAATCAGATCTTCTGACAGCCATTCACCTTACTAGTAGCTAATGAACTTACTGAGAATACTTCAGGAGTAATACAGGCTTTGTTTCAGCCGAAATCAACTATCGAGATTACCCTTTTAACATTATCAGGCGGGATAATTTACAGAAAGGAAGATGTGAATAACCAAGCATTAGCGGTCACTGCGAACACTGATTTCTTTGCTATTTACTCTAAGAAAGGGTCTATTCAAATATATGATACTAGTGACGGCTCCCTAATAGTTCCTTACTACATAAAGACAAATCTAGTGTTTCTATCCTCATACACAAATGGCAATCTTGCATTTATGGATTTATCAGGCAAGATTACTGTGATTAATGTGTATGAAAAACGCCAGTTGTTCGAAGAACCAGACCTAGTCAAAGAACTGCTTACACAGCTCACGAATGAGTACATCTTGGAGAAGAATATTGTAAGAGAAAAGGATGAACAGTCCTTGCTTTACTATGTCAGTCTATTTTACCTTCAGGAGAACAACCTCTACATCCAGGCGGCAAATAAAGGTGACAGCTTAGATCTAAATATTTATTGATTAAACACAGAAATGAGGAACTGGGAAAGGGTAAACCACCTCTCTAAGTGTATTATCGACGATGAGAACTCAGGCAATATTGCCTCTGTGATTCCTAAAGATGAAGCAGAGGTGGATGGAGTCGCAGAAACCACTGGTTTGCCAATTTCCCAACAAAAACGAGAGAAGGCATACTTCAAGCTTGATAAAAATACTGAAGAACTCATGAAATCTATTAAATTGGGTATTGATTACCTTGAGAATGATAAGATGGAAGATGCCAATAAGAGAGAAGACCTAGAAGCCCTAGAAGACCAGTTACATCTTTACGAAAGATTAGAGCATAAAGAAGAGTACTTCATCACTCTTGAGACCTACCTGATAAAATGAGTCCAAGGAGCAGAAATCGAAAGGTTGACCAAAATCATTGCTAAATATGATAGCCAATACAAGGTTCATAAGAAATTAAAGCTGGATAGTACGAGATATGAGGAGTTCTTCCTGGGGATGCAAAAATCAGAGATTTTAGAGAAGTTTATCAAGCCCAAAATCGCATTTAATGCTGAACTGGAAAAGAAATTATTTGGATAATAACTTTGTTTCAACCTTTTTTTTTAGATTTGGGGTTTTGGGGTTTTGGGGTTTTGGGGTTTTGGGG